CCTGAATTCTGAGTTCACACCTCACAATTCTGACCATTTTCCCTGCAGTTTGAGTTCACACCTCACAATTCGGACCATTTTACCTGAATTCTGAGTTCACACCTCACAATTCGGACCATTTTACCTGAATTCTGAGTTCACACCTCGCAATTCTGACTTTTTTCCCTGAATTCTAAGTTTACGTATCGCAATTCAGACTCTTTTTCCCTGAATTCTGAGTTTACACCTTGCAATTCTAACTTTTTTTCCCACTACGGAATAGAAAAAAAGGGAAGAAGATAAATTGCGACCTTATCCCTTATCCTGTGACCGAAACGGACTTCCATTAAAAACAGATTCACATTAAACAGTTTTAACAGGATTTACTAATATTTAATTATATTAGTATTTAAGTTTTATAATGTAATTTCTTAGTTAATATTTATTAATCATATAATTTATAACAAATAATATAATACAAAATTCTGTTAATTTTTTCCTTTTTTATATTCACAACAAAATAGTATATGTTTGACTTCATACTTCAACATGTCAGCATCTGTCAAACCTTGAAACCTTGACATTTCTAAACTGACAGACAAACTGACACACTCATAGATCATCAGCATTGATCTAGAGCACGGGTTCTCAAACCTCTCCATGAAGTACCCCCAGCACTGCACGTTTTGTATGTCTCCCTATATCCGACACACCCACTTCAGGTCTTGCAGTCTCCACTAACGAGCTGATGAGTTGAATCAGGTGTGATAGATGAGGGGGACATACAAAATGTGCAGGGCTGGGGGTACTCCAGGACAGGTTTGAGAACCACTGATCTAGAGACTGTCTTCAATAGAGCACCTCACGCTCACTGGACGCTGAGTTCCTTGACCTTGGTGAACAATCCCATGTGGTAAACCATGTTAAAGCATTATCCAGGAACCGTCTGCCCACAGCGGTAACTCATTCCTCTCTGTCTATGTCATGAAGACTAAACCACAGCACTGCAATATCTTAATACCCTCCCAAACCTTATATCAATGCCAAATATTAAACGCTACTGTAGCTGATCTCTCCTCGGAGCACAGCAGAGCTCTTTCCATCATTGATCTTAGTCAACAAATCCTCCACCAACACGACGTCTAGCGATCATTCCCCGAAAGAAAGCCCTCTCCGGCGGGCACAGGGGGATCAACTTTATATGTCATTTGAGGGGGGCTGGAAAAAGGGGCTTGACCTTTGGAATGAATCCTGTGTAACTGGAGAGCGCCACGGCCCTGCTGGAATGGAGGGATCATCTCTTACCTTGACAGCCACCAGCATCTTGTCCTTAGTGGGGCTTAGGTTGTAGCACTCTGCCAGGAACACCTTCCCAAAAGCCCCTTCGCCCAGTTCCCTCTTGAGCACGATGTCTCTGCGCTTAATGTGCTGTACATCTGGAGGGGGAGAGAGAGAGAGAGAGAGAGAGAGAGAGATTGATTGAGCGGATTGTGTGACAGTCTTTCTGCAGGCGGTGCAGCAAAACAGAGATTGAGGAACGTGTGAATTTCATGAGTCGGATTGCTGTCACTCAGGCTGATCAGGTAAGTTGAAGTAACATGGCACCAAAAACTGACTCGTATGAGATATAGAGTGAAAGAAAAATGAATGAAAATAAACCAAAAGAAACTTCAAAACAATATGAAATCAAAATTGAACCTATTTACAGGTATCATTGTCCATGATTCATATAATAATAATAATAATAATAATACTACTACTGCTAATAATAATAATAATATTAATAACTGTATTATTATTATTATTGTTATTATTATTATTAATAATAATAATAATAATCTTTTCACACAGAAATTTGCCAGAGTGATACATTTGTAAGAATATTTTAATAACAATATTAAACCAAATTATAACAACAATAAATTATTATTATTATTATTATTAATAACAACAGCAATACCAATAATAATACATTTTAATATTAAAGGGGTGGTTCATTGAAATTTCACTTTTTTAACGTTAGTTAATGTGTAATGTTGCTGTTTGAGCATAAACAATGTCTGCAAAGTTACGAAGCTGAAAGTTCAATGCAAACGGAGATATCGTCTTTTAAAATTCTGGCAGTTTAATGCCTACAAAAACGGCTGGTAGGGACTACAACAAGTTACTTCCTGGGTTCATGACCTAACAAACCCAGATAACCCCCACCCTCGGGAAAAGGCAGCAAAGGGGGCGCGGCCTGCGCTGCTTTAGAGAAGAGGAAGCGAAAACTAGAGGTGCACGTAAAAATCTATTCATATATGAATCGTGATTCTGACTTCTAACGATTCTAATGGATTCACAAGTTTCAAAATCAATGTTCTAAAGCAGCGGTTCTTAATACTGTTCCTTGCGTCCCCCTGCTCTGCATCTCTCTCTCTCTCTCTCTCTCATTCAGATCATCAGCTCAGTGAATACACTTATTTTCACATACTATAGCTATGAGAAGCGTTATACATGGACGCGCGTGCAGTTGCCGTACTGTATTAAAGCTTTAATCAGGATAAAAATGTATATTAAAAGCTAACATAAGCAGTAGCATTTACAAATAACAGCTAATTTATTAATATTCCAATCAAGTTAAAAAAAAAGTCCTTAATGTATCACATTTAAGGTAAATGTATCATGCAAACATTTCATTTTGTGTTTACATTATAAAAGGTAATTCAAGGTAACGTAACCTTAAAAACAATACACACTGAGGCAACCCTTTGATGTAATTTGTTTTCCATCATTCATGTACTTTCATCACTTTTATCCTAGATAGCTGCTGTGATCTCTGAATGCAGTTCATTTAACCCGGCTGCTCAAATGTACGCCTGTAGTGTACATTTACACAACACACACACATCTGCATCATTTTACATCAGAATCTGTGTGTGAGCGCCCATCGGGAGCTGCAGTATGAAACGATCTAAACACAGGAGATCAGGTGGATTTGCCTCTGATACAGAGATGAATGAAATCACACTTGGTCCACTGGACAGACTAATGGAGCAGCAACCAGTCTGCTGCCGGTTCAAGTCCCCGTTGAGCTTTACTGCCTTCTCTGCCCTTGAGAGAAGAATGTAACCTCAAACACCCTAATAAATACTGCCACGACAGGTGATAATCTGGAGATCATCATCTTCTGTCTGACTTTGATGTCCAGATAATTTCTGGATGTTATGAAGAAATTTGATCAATAGAACAACATACAGCGCGTCACCATGCAAAATTAACTTGTGAACTTGTGAATGAACTTGTTTTGTTTTTTAGTGTACTGTTAATGGTACGTTACGTTTATACGGTATATTTTGAACTCATACAGGGTATTAGCTGTTGCATGCAAACAATATCAGGAAGACAAACTTTTCAACAGTAACAATAACCACTTTAAACATGTTAAATACATAAATATATAAATTAAGACAGTCGCTTCATTCAGCAAGAATTAGAGCCTGACAATAACACAAAAGTAACTATTACCTTTACCAACAATAGGCCTCATTCATGAAACACAAGCAGAACAAAACGTTAAAATAACACATTCTTATGTAAATGGCCGTACAGAATTGAATGTCAACAAAATGTAAGAATATCAATTCATACAGAAATTTGTTAGAATAATAAATTTGCATAAATGCTTTGCCAAATAATTCCAAATACATACATAAATAGTACAGTTTAAAATAATTAAGTTTATTATTTAGTTTATTTGTATGTAATACCATATTTTCAAGTAAAAATGCTCACATTTAGGAAGGTCAAAGTATTGTAAATTCATTTTGTGTTTCCATTATTATTATTATTATTATTATTATTATTATATTTTCATATTTATAGGAGGTGCTTGGGAAACTTGTTGGATGACAATAACAAACTATGCAATTTCATGTGGTATAATTAGTGGTGCAGTTCATTAAAACTTCAGTTTAATACATTTTATACCTGATTGCTTGATTAAAATATTATTTTACTTAGCAAATTCATTACGTCAACTATCCGCCATATACATTACCATTACTGTCCTGTATAGCTATTGCACATAACAGATACAATCATTTAATTACACCTTTCAATGTATTTATTATTACTTATTAATTTTATATTCTTCTTTTTATTATTATTATTAATTGAGTTTATTATATATGGAAATTACAAAAGCAATCTTAACTGCTTCTATAATGGTTTTTATTGTATATTTCAATCAAGTAAAAAAAAAAGTGTTCACATTAAGGTAAATGTAATTTAAAAGCTATTTCTCTGTGTTTACGTTATTCTTAATAAATAAAATGTTTGTAATTAATCATTATTTATCATTTATTTATTAAAATGTATTAATATTACTATAATAAATATTAAAATGGAATAATATTTTTAAGCCATAAAAACTGTAATTTTGTACGTTTTTTTTTGTTTGTTTGTTTTTTTACAAACAATGTACAAATAAATTATTTTTGGTAGTTTTTGAATAAGGGCCAATGCAATGCAATTTCCTACTTTTTAAGGAGGAACACATTGCGCATTCATTTGCAAGTAACCTTCCTATGTTGCACACAAGTCGATGACCCATCTTCAATACGAATAGAAACGTCAAACTGAGCAGATTTAACCACGGCTAGCGAAGTGCAACTCATAGTGATGTAAGGCAGCCTGAGCAGGTCTTTAATCTCTGTACCTTCCACCTGCTTCCATTCCCAGCTCTCAGTCTGCTGCGAGGCAGCGAGCTCCATATGGCCGACCACGACAGCATCTGTTATTTACTCCAAACAGGAGTTTTGGATAAGTCACCGTCCAACATCAACACTTACTGCCTGAAGTTACGAGTCATATGATTTTTCCCCAGCAGAAAGGCCAATTCTCCAAGGAAAAAAAACAAAACAAATATTGATGAATGGACAGCACTCAAGGATAGCTTTTTGTATTAGCTGGCAATCACCCCGTTCTTCGTCTAAACAGAGGCTCTAATCAGCAGAAACATATTAGGGACAATTTCATTTAGGGCTGCCGAGGCAATTGCACGTTGTGGCAGGCATCCAATGACGATGGTAAATATTTCAGCACACTCGATTGTACGAGTCTCCGTCGCAGAAGGTTTTTTCACAAAGGCACCGGTGGAGATTAAGACAAAGGATGGCGAACACATGCATTACTTCCAAACTAATTAAAAAGCATTTATTTAATCAGGACAGAAAAAGACGACGAAAGAGAGAGCTTGAGACAAAGATGGAGAGAGAGAAAGACCTTTTGTTTTCTCCATTTCCTATTCTCCATTTTCTAGTGAGTGATAGGTTCACAATTAGCAGGTGACGGGTGCGTTGGAAGCGCTTTCAGCTTGCGGTGCAATTAGGAAAGTTACAAATTGCGCGGGCTAATTGTCTTATTACGCCAACTGTTGTGTTGCGTTCACCTCACAGGTTGCGTTGTGAGAGAGCACTCAGGAGAAGAGGTTACCCGCGCTAGACATCGTCTGTCTAAACATAGCGAACAGCTGGGAATACAGGACATGGACTTCATCCTAATTAGGCCGTTTTTACCCCCACCGCTCTACCGCAGATGTTTACTCGGTCTCGCTGAAAATGACACAACGGACCAGACCGAAGCTGATTCGGGTTCAAATGCATGTAAATCGCTGCAAGAAAAAAAAAGAAAAAAAGAAAGAAAAAACAGGATTAGGCCGGACTTTCCCCGCAGCAATTTACTTCCTCGCTTGAAAGCGACGCTAAATGAATCTGAAATAGCACCTGTTTCCAGTCAGCCACAAAGTCATTTCCTCCTGCGTGATGACTTAATGCACTTACGACTGTTTTGTAAATGACTCCTTTTAAAATGCTACAGTCTCTGAAGGCTGAGAAACAACGGAGTAAACAAAAGCCGGAAATGGAATATCTAACTGGAGCAGTGATGCTGAAAACTTTCAACTTTAGAGGAATAGTTCATCGAAAAATCCAAGACGTAGATGAGTTTGTTTCTTCATCAGAATAGATTTTCCCCTGTAGTGAATGAGAGTCCAAACAGCTGATAAAAACATCACAGTAATCGATACAAATCAAGAAACAAATCCATCAAGGCATTTCAACTTTAATCCACTGCTTCTTGCCAATATATGAGTCCATAACCCATAATAGCGCTTCATTCAGTGAAAAAGTTCATCCTCTGTTGTGCTCTCTCATTAAAATCCACCGAAATATTTGTTTAGAACTGATCTGGACCATTTCGCTTGTAAACGATGCGTGATCTGTGCACATTTCTCTCCTGATTCAGATGAGATGACTTTTTCACTGGAGAAAGCAGGATTATGGATAGAAGACATCTTAATGTTGGATTTGTTTATTACAAACATGCAGTTTTTTGCTTCACAAGATGTTAAATGATGGACTGGAGTTGGTGTGGATTATTGTGATGTTTTTATCAG